TTTATGCATAAATAAACAATTTAAGAAACTGCTTTAAATTCCCAAGTGCTAAATTCCGTAAACTACTCCAAATAAGATGCCTAACAAATATTAAACGTGGGGGAAGGAGGAGGGGGGACGGTGTTACAATCTCAACCTAACCTGTCTTCGTATTTTGTGTCTGATTGTAGTTAACAAAATTATGTTTCATTTAACGAAATAAAGCTAAGAAGAAACGATCAACACGACTATTACACAATTTCCGTAACAAGTTGCAACGAACTTATATAGTACTATCATCAACCTGTTAACAACCTTGTTACATGCAGACGATATCAGACTTGTGGAAACAACTTTTTGTTGGGCGAATTTTGGTTTTGTCCAATCAAAGCATTTGTTTACATTTTGGCATTCAGCCAATCAGAACACGTATATTTTTACAACTTCCGGTTTAGACGCGTATTTCAACACGAAAATTACGGTAGTTTACAAACCCTTAGGGAAATCGGGTTTTTCAATTTTTTGGACTTATTTCAATGAAAATAGCACTTTATAGTATTGAGCTCATATCACTGGAGGAGCTAAAGAGACCGTGACACACTATCTAACAAGAGGATAAAGATTGATTATATCCCTGGAAAATGCTAAAGAGGCATTTAGTGACAGTCTTATTGTTGCAATGATATTAAAAGGTATACCTGAATGATACATACGGTGTATTTCTACTGTCAATATTCAATAGTTATAAGTCGAAGATCAATCATACAAATCCAGCAACGCTTACTGGAATCGAGCAGACTGATATGTAAATCAATAATTGAAATTGATCAAATACATTGAAATTGAACGGCTGTTTGTCAAATCGAATATCAAATAGCAGAATTTCAGTATTTGCAATTCAATCAACACCTATTCGAATGAAACATACATAATTCAGAACAAGCATCATTCAGTCAAAACGAGCATCAATCTTGCAACAGCATGCAGTGTTTCCACTTTGTGCCAATCTGACCTCCACTTCCATTATGAAAATAGTCATTTCTCCATTCAAAATTTCCTTCAACACATAGTCAGTATTCCTTGGTCGATTACTGTTTAAAAATCTGGAAATGAAAAGTTAGCCATGGAGGCCTAAAAACTGTTTACATGGACAAGAGATGTCGCTTCTACAAGGGGAACCCTGTTTCGTAAACAGGGTGTCCTTACCGTCAGGGTGGTCGTACCACTAGAGACAAGTTGAAAACTTTCCATATAAGCACTTGCGTTTAAATGTTATATAATGAATAAAATTTTGCCTTTTCCAAGGTAGCTCGTAAGGTGTCCATTGTACCCAAGAGCATATAAATAGCGTCTAGTTTGTGAAAAATATTATTTTAAGTGACTTACACTGGGCCGCGAGAATCGCTAATTTGAGACGCAATAATATATGGAAACTTGAACAATTAATTAGCAATGCAAAACGTGGCTAATTGAAGCATTTCGCTATTTGCTATAGTATGCGAACAAGAATCTCTTGCTTTGAAACATGGAAATGAGTTCCCAGAATGTAATCTTTTATTCGAAGAAAGATTGGTCTTAATAATGTATATATAAACTGAATAAATGCTATTTTTATCGATGTGGATATAGTCTGTGTTACAATTTGCTTCAAATATTTCACAAAATAATGGCGTTTAGAACAACAGACCATATTGCGTCCTTAATTAAAGTATTTCAAGCGTCCTTTGCAGATCGTGTGTCATTCTACCTCACATTAATATACTGGCTTGCAATTGGTTACATTTTGTAAACATCAACATTTAATTAAATTAATTAGCAATATGGAAATGACTTCCACGAAATTGCTATTTTATATAAAAGAGAGATTTAACTCCAAAATAAATACCGAAATACGTAACTGTCAAATAATATAAACAACGCGTTGTAATAATAAGAGCAAAGCCATATGATAATATATACCATTTATTCAAATATTGCGCCATTATTGCACTCTAAGTTTCGTCAAATGGAAAACAAAAACATGATAGATAGTTTCCCCATCAAATAGGCATTTTTATAAAAATGAAATCTCAGGTGCAAAGTTCCAGACAGTCAAATTATTTTTTTGCACCTTTCTGTGCAGCCTTGGTTACTTTACCAGAACTTCCGTCGCCCATTTCAACACTTCTTTTCTTGCAACAGCAACAGGGTGCTTCATGTCACGCACGGCAAACGTTCCAAATTGTAGATAGTCGACGAATGTTTCGAAACACATTGGTTTAGACGGCACCATTATAACAATGCCAGAATAACCTACCTTTAAACATTTGGGGTTTGCCTCCGTCGTTTTACCAGTTCGACGATCAATCTTTTCTTTTAGTTCTCAGAACTTTCACGCAATATAAGCAGTGTGACAATCCCAAACAGGACTATATCCGGAATGGATTACATCCGGATGGTTCATAGTAATATCCTGCGGTGTGAAATTTTTCGCTTCCTTTGGAGGACGATGATTCTTGTTGTCACAAGTAACTCGCTCTCTTTTACAGAAACATATTTAATATTGAAACCAACGTTGTCTGCAGGGAGGCCTTCAGTCAAGAATTCATGGTGCAATTTGACTGATTTTTACTTCAGTAGTAATGTTAAACAATTAAATTTAAACAACGCGTTGTAATAATAAGAGCAAAGCCATCTAATAAAGAAACAACGGGATATTAGCGTCAGTAGTTGAAGCTTTAGTTCATTCAGGACGCAGATATATTTTTCGTACATATACTTAAAAAGAAAAAAAATTTATAACGCTAGTTGTATCACTGTAGTATTTTATACTGGTTAAGGTTTGATAATATTACTCATCTATTCCAGAGATCCCTGTGATAAACTCATTCTCGGGCGATTAGTAAATCAGCCCATGCAACGCACGTGACTGCGTTCAGTAGAACCGCGCACACACAAACCAATTCTATTTTCAATTTCCTGTGATGTTAGTATTAATTGGAGTTATAAATTTCAAACCTGATGAAATCGATTGCCTTTAGAAATAACTGGAAAAAATGTAACCTTATGAACATTATATTTAGATTTCGTAAGGGAATTAAGGCGCCACCTTTCTAAAATGCGCATCTGGCGTTTGAATTATTTATACGTCTACATAGTTGTTGCCATAAAAACTGATTGTGTAAGAGTTTTTGCTCGTGTCTTAGCATAGTATAGCATAAACAACGGTGTTACGTGTCAGTTGAAGCACTTTTCCGCACGCAGATACAACAAAGATTTCACAACCGACCTATACGCTATCGTCAATAGATTTCAAGGTTAGTGTAATTCTCTAAATCTTTTAAGATGCATTGTAAATTAGCAAAACTTCTGGCCACGTTAAAGTTATAAATGTTAGAATGTTTTTAATTTCATTTACTTGCTACGAAACTCAATGTGTGTATATGACGCAACAAATTAACGTTGTTTGAAGGGCATGACATTTACTAAGCTACAAAACGGGTTGAAATTTACTTAAAAGTACATTCTAATTCTGCCACTACAACATACGAATTATACTTGCTTAGAGGCTCTTTTACCGTGCATGTCACAGCAAGTCAACGTTGTCTGAAACGCATATTTATTTAGCTAAAACAGTTTGAAGTTGACCCAAACGTATGTTTTTAACAAGATGACATTTAAATTTATAGTTTACACAGGCACGGGAGAATTTACGGCCACTGGAGGGATCTAGCGTTAATGCTCTTTAAACCATGTCAATTTTGCTACGTTTTGCATTTATCCCCTACTTGTGTATACGGAGTTTCAGTCTAGAGCAAGTGATTGTCTTAAAGAGACAGTATATTTCCTAGCCGGCAGGGAACTGCTTCGTTCGAACAATATTAATATAAATATTCTACTATATGGTATAGCTAAATATTGCTGATACATCAACTTTATCAACTAAGAGCCTTGAATAAACGGCCGCGTAAACACAAGATATACGGTGGTCGGTTGCTATGCATTTTGCTCCCGGAGAGCTCCCGCTGTGAAATTGCTAGCATTTGTTGTTTCCTGTCTCCAAGCTGTGAATCAAAGGCGCGGTTAAAATACCCCGTTTCCGACGCTCTCGTTCGCGTATCTTTTGCAACTTTCTTAAAAAATTTGCCACCCAATAGATACAACCTCGAACCGTTTAGGGATATTACCATCCAAATTAGTCACAGTGTTAGCGCAAAACGGTCAAATTTTAGTCTAACAATGGGCATGTTTTTTCGCCTTTTGGCCGATGGATATTACGCCATGACGTACAAATTGTACCGTCTAGGGGTCCCACAGTACCACACGTGTATGACCTACAATCCCCCCTTGAGATGCCTCTGGGGTTATTAGCATTATCGGGAGATATAAGCAACAACGTGTCGAAATTTCGCATTTTTCGCTGTATTTTTTAAACATTTTTGTTAAAACGTAATTTCGGACAAACTTCTCAAGGCAAAGTTGAAGAATATCATCTATTCAACAAATCTGAATAGATAGCTGTACCGGAAAGAGGTGAGGGAAAAAGTCTCTTTGACGAACGCATTTGCATTTTATACGCGTTCATGCTGCGCCATGTTGTTGCTT